GAACCAAATATTTCAAAAAACCAAATATACTTTCAGAATCTTATCTATCAAATTTGCCCGCAATTCTATTTTTCTTTGGAAAACCAAATATATTTCATCCATTTGCCGTCAATTCGTTGAGATATTTGCCGATATTTGACGAAATATTTCATTTTAAAGGTAAAATGTTAAAGTATATTATCAGATTAATCAAAGAAAGAATTCTAAGAAGAAAAATTAAAGAATAATCATTTATAATACAACGACAAAATAATTCGCGCTTCTCCTCAAACATTCAATATTTATGACTTATAACTGAATTCGCTGAGTTTCAAACCGAAGAAATATTCAATGAAATTTAGTCCGAAGAGACAAAGGTTTATCAATAAATTTTTAGAGTAAATTTTAACATTTGGTACCATTTTCCAGATTTAATTTCTTAATGTAATTAATTTATTCAGTAAACCTATCTAGGATTGCTTTGTTAAAGTTCAAGAAAGAAACTAAATTTGAGAAATTTGGAAAAATTGGTTCTTTAAAATTATTGAAAGCGCAGTGACGTTGATGATGATCTTTTCTAAACATTATCGTTCTAGATATAAAATTTCTTCGCTATTATCCCACATTTATTGATATATTCCATTTATTGATATAGCAAGGGAAAATTACCCTGAGATGCTTGCATTGATCAACAATAGTACAAACGAAGAAAGGTAGCCAAACAGTGCAAAAATAAAACAAATTTGTGGTATAGTAGCGTATATGTTCATAAAGATTCATCCTATGTGAAGGTTTCTTCGTCTTTAGTGAATGCATTAGTAGCTTGTACGGGAAGTGATTTTTTGAAGATACGATCTTCTTGACTGTAGAATCAAAAGAACAAAAGCATCATATCATGAGCGCATATGGATGCCAATTTAAAGATTTTATAGAATTTATTTTATAGATTTTATAGATTTTCATATTTTTAAAATTAATTAAATTAATTAAAATTAATTAAAATTTAAACTTTTAATCCTTAACGGCAGGTTTTAATTATATTTCATGCAATTTTATTTTTATTAACTGAAAAATTTTTTATTTTATTTTAATTATTCATCACTTTCGAGCGATTTCAAAATTTTTGAAAATATTTTATGATATATGTGCATAGTCAACATTTTAGGAAATAATTTAATAAAAAAATTACTAAATACTAAAAATATGAATAGTGAAACGACAGTTTTATTGCCCACGAAGGTACCATTTTTCATTTTTCGAAAATTTTTCGTATAATAAGTTTTTTAATAAAATTAATTAAAATATATTAAGGAGAATTTTTAATAAAATTTTTGCATGCAAGGTTATTTGCGAAATTTTGACAAAGGTAGCAATTAAAAATTTTTAAAAATTTAAAATTTTTAACTATGCAAATTTAATTAATATGAAAATGCAAATATGAAATATGAAATAGATTTTAGGGGCTCGTTGCATTAGTTACTGGTGGAGCTTCCGGTCTTGGAAAGGCTACTGTCGAGTTTTTAATAAACCGTGGGCTGAAGGTAGCCATCGTTGATTTGCCATCTTCAAATGGCGCAGATGTAGCCAAAAGTTGCGGTGAAAATTGTCTTTTCATTCCAGCAAATGTAAGGTTGCGTGCAACATTTTCAAACATTTATATTCTCAAAGACCAATTGAAATATTTTCAACGAAAGGATCATCTCAGTTCATAATTACTTTACAAAAATGCATGCGAAAAATCCATGCAAAAATAATTGAAAGTTGAAATAATGCATTGGGTTGGTTGTCTCAATTCAGAGTACCGATGCCTGTGATTTTATTTCCGGCAGAAGTAAATCTAATTAGTGATCTATCTGCAGTTCGATCGCGGTCTATCGCCAAGTTTTTTCTTGCAATTTTTCTGATCCGATTAAGCCATCGAAGAAATAAAGCTGACCAAAAGTCTGGTGTACACTCTTCAAAAAGAAAAGCGACAAACCAGGAAAATAGGATGTGATTTTTTAAAAACAAGACTTGTCTGTGGATATAAGCAAATCTTGTTCTAAATTACCGGTAAATCCACTAGAATGCGCTGCTTTGCTGACTGCAAGGAAGAGGACGATGCTCGACTCGATATTCTTAAAATCATTAGGCCACTATATATCATTTTAATATGAACAGAGAAATGTTTATTAATTATAGTGGTGCGCATTCCTCAATCAAAAAAGTGGAATATATGGGAAAAATTTGTTACTATTCTCTAAAATTATTCTCTTGACAGAGGAGTCGGAATTTTCAATAATAGGTTTTCCTGCTAGGCATAAGCATCGAACCATAATCATTGCAATCAGTGATAATAATTGATAATAATTTAAGCATACATCTAGCATTTAGTCCTTATATAATTCATAAGAATTCAAACTGTTATAGCATAATTCAATTCAAATTCAAAGCCAAATTTAAAAAAAATCAGGTGACACGTGAAGATGAGGTAAAGGCTGCCAAATTTAAAAAAAATCAGGTGACACGTGAAGATGAGGTAAAGGCTGCTTTCGGCATTCTGTGCGAAAATTTCGGACGAGTGGATGTAATTGTTAATTGTGCTGGAATTCCCGGAAAGTTATATGATTCTGTGAAAAGAGAAATGCAAAGTTTAAAAGAAATTGCGGAAACCGTCAATGTTCTCTCTTATTATTTTCTATTAATCCTATCTTATTAGTTTTTCACTTATTATTTTAACTATTTTAATACGATTTAGCTTTATATTTCATTTTTAGCGAAAATTTCTCAAAAATTCTTTTTTCACTATATTTACCTATCAAATTAAGAAAACAAAAAATGGAAACAAAATAAGATTTTTTTCTGAAATTAATTTCAGTTTTATGTTTTATGATTCATTTTCTGGAATCGTTCATTCAAAATTTTTTTCGCTAAAAATATAGAAAATACAAATCTTTTTTGAATTTTTGATTGAATATGGATGGATTTACAAATAGAATCAACGGCTTAGTTGATGGAACATAATTTATTTTCAGGTAAATGTAATCGGTACAATGAATGTGATTCAATTTGCATGCCAAATGATGGCTGAAAACGAAAAAGATAAAGACGGGCAGCGAGGAGTTATTATCAATGTTTCATCAATTTGCGCATATGATGACAACTCGCTTCATGTAAATGAGTTTTTATGATCACAAAGCATCTATTCATCTGCTAAATTATAATTATTACTTTTATTACTTTTCCTAATTCAAGTTTAGAAGTAGCAATTATATTTCTAATTTAGGCATATTCAGCATCGAAAGGAGCGATTTCTAGTATGACAAGTCCTCTTGCTTTCGAATTTGCGAAGCATGGAATACGATTCATGGCTATTGCTCCAGGCCTCTTTTCTACACCAATGACAACTAATTTAAACAACATAAAAGTGGTTTTTTTTCTTAAATATCGAGAAAGCTTTAATCGAACGAATTGAAAATTGATGCGTAGATTAATTTTTTAGGTGGAAAAACGTATAGAATATCTTAAAAATATTGTACTAAGTCCAAAACGATTTGGTAATCCGCTGGAATTCGCTGCTCTCGTTCATCATATTATTGAAAATCGCTACTTGAATGGTGAAGTTATTCGATTAGATGGTGGATTACGTTTGCAACAATAAAATGATATTTGTATGCAAAATAATCCTTTTCTTCTTCTTATTAATTCTTTCAGTTTATTTTTAGGATTTTAGTAAATTTTTTTTGAATTGAAATACAAATGAATAAAATGAATTTGTATGAAAAAAATTATGAATGATTCAAAATTATGAAAAATTTTTATTGAAAAAATTCATTGGATAAATAGAAAACGATTTTTTGTTTTTTGTATTCTAAAAGATATCACAAATTCAATAAAATTTAATTAAATTAAATTTTATTGAATTTCAAGAAATTCAAACTTTTTCTTAAAACTATTCATTGATGGTTCAAATTACCCTATAAGACCAATTATTTTATTATAGGTTACTGGTGCGAGTGAAGCAATTATTTGAACTCTGAATCTTTCAATCTTTCATTTTGTTGCTCAATTATTCAAATTATAGGATTTTAGGAATTTTAAGAAATTCAAAAATTAAATTTATAGCGCAATACGATTACTGCAGTCGATTTAAACGAAAAGCTATTTTGGACATATTAGATTTTAATTACAAAACACCGAATTCTAATGTCGAATGACAAAAAAAGCGAAATTGCCTGGATAATTGCAGCTAGAAATGCGTTCTTCCAATTGACGAAATCCTTATGGAGTCGTTGCAAAATTACCATAAAAACGAAAGTCAATATACAAGTTAATATCTATATAATAGCGATTCGCTCGATCTTGCTATATGATTGCGAGATATGGCCAATAAGAGTGGAGAATTAAGAAAATCCTTCGTTTGTCCACTTATATCTAAGATATAATTTACAAATTCGCCGAGATGATAAAATCTCACATGGTCGCACCAACTTCTTTTCATATATCATTTGCATTACATTATAATCACATATAATCACATAGTGTCGCCTCCGGTGGTTTGGGCAGGTTCTATCGCCCACTTCAAAAGTTGAACATATATACTTGCTAAGCCCTGTGATGGATGGTCAAAAGCAAGGTAGACCAATCAAGACCTGGACCTGACTGATGGTAAGAAAAAATTTTGAACGCATAGATTGACTACCAATATATGGATTACTGTCGATGATGGCGTTAGATCGCGCCGCTTAGAAACGCCTTTCCCTTATAGCCAGTGGAGCCAGCCTAACCAGTAAAGGTGAGGACTGTTAGGTGAAGAAAGAATTTTAATTCATCTGTAACCTTTTGGCAAATTAGGCACGAATGATAATTCCTTATTGGTGATTTATTTATCACTTTTAAATTGAACACAAGCAACAAGGGAGGAAGTAATTTTAGCTCTAAAGAAAATTGGTGATTAGATAGGTTGTACTTAGATGGGGCGAGGATGAAAAATTAGGAACCATTTTACGATGGAGGAATCTAATTTTATCATAGAAAATAAAATCTGAAAAGTGTTGAGAGATTGATCTGATATTCTGTAAATCCAGTCACGAAAGACTCTGCAGTGAAAAGATTTTACTGTAATAAACAGTGGAGCCAGCTAGAGAAGAACGCTCTTATAAATTAAGAAATATGATATTTAAGAATCATAGGTCGGCCGATTAAGATATATTACCTGAATTTTACTGAGTAACTCGCTAAATAATAATTTTAACCATAAAATAGCTACATACTTTCATACTTCACGAATATAGAATTGTTGTGCTTTGCCGACCAAAGGGAATCCATGCCAAAGAATATTGTGGACTTCTAATAGAAAGAATTCTAATACCGATCTCATTAGACAAGTGCTCTTGTTTAAAAATATTATTTACACTATAAATTGAGTTTCCATTCAAAAATCTGGTTTTCTTAAGGTACAAAATGAATGAGAAAGACATTACAGATAGTAGGGTGAGTGGTAAATTTGGTTTAGATTTTTGATTTCAAGATGTTACTTCGGGATATTTTTTTTCAAAGAGTCCTCACCATTATTGATTAAATTCGCTCCACTGGCTTGTCGCATTGACCTATATGGCAGAGAGTTCCTTGATGATAGAAATACAGATGAATCGCCAGTATCACTCTGATTTTTGTGCAGGTTTATTTCTGCGGGGAATCGAACCTCAGCATCGGCGCCCTAAACCGAGCAATAACCTATTTCCTTGGGGTGTATCCTTCTATAATTAGTTGCATCGTCGTTTTTCCATTTAGCGAAAGATATCTAAGGCAAAGAAAAAAATTTATACAACACAATGTCGAATATCCTAAATATTGTTTGATTCAATCATCCACAAATGCTAATTGTACTTGGATTTTCATCCACATTACCAATCTATTAAGAAATTCACAAAATCAATTGAATTTTAGATGTCGATGTAAAATAATTTTTGGTTTAAGTCGACTGTAACGAATATTTATTTATAATTTGAAATTCTCATAGTTCTTCATAATAACTCGAATAATGGTACAAAAAAAAAATAGGCCGATTCAAAGTTCAAATAAATTTTTCACTCGTACCAATGTTTACTATAATAAATTATTATTTATTGGTGGGCCAATTTTGCACCAACGGTGAATCGTTTTAAGAATGAATTGATTAAATTTATTTGGTATTGCTTAAGAAATAAATAATCCAGTTTATGCATAACAAATATAAATTTTATTCGATAAAAAATTTTCCAAAAATTTTTTCATATCGTTCGTTTCATTTATTCCAAATGAGAAGGCAAATAACTCATAAAAATCCTAAACAACAAACTGATTAAAAGGAAAATGAAAAGAATTATTTTGCATATCAAATATCATTTTATTGTTGCAAACGTAATCCACCATCTAATCGAATAACTTCGCCATTCAAATAGCGATTTTCAATAATATGATGAACGAGAGCAGCGAATTCCACTGGCTTACCAAATCGTTTCGGATTTAGCATAATACTTTCTGTCTGAAGAAAGATCAAACTATGCAATCAGTTTTTTATAATTCAATGAGATCTATTCGATATTTAAGAAAAAAGACCACTTCAGAATTATTTAGATTTAGATTAGCTATCATTGGCGTAGAAAAGATGCCTGGAGCAATAGCCATGAATCGTATTCCATGTCTCGCAAATTCGAAAGCAAGAGGACTTGTCATACTAGAAATCGCTCCTTTCGATGCTGAATATGCCTAAATTAGAAATATAATTGCTACTTCTAAACTTGAATTAGGAAAAGTAATAAAAGTAATAATTATAATTTAGCAGATGAATAGATGCTTTGTGATCATGAAAACTCATTTACATGAAGCGAGTTGTCATCATATGCGCAAATTGATGAAACATTGATAATAACTCCTCGCTGCCCGTCTTTATCTTTTTCGTTTTCAGCCATCATTTGGCATGCAAATTGAATCACATTCATTGTACCGATTACATTCACCTGAAAATAAATTAAATTCCATCAATTAAACTGTTGATTCTATTTATAATTCCGTTTTATTTAAATCTGTGTTTTTTATTTTTTTAGCGAAAAAATTTTAAATGAACGATTCCAGAAAATAATTGATATTATAAAATTCAGATTGATTTCAGAGAAAAAATAATATTTGGTTTTCGTGATAATTTGATAAACTTGATAATTTCTTAATTTAATGCAATAAAAAAATGAATTCATCGCCAAAAATAAACTATAAATCATTGCACTAAATATTGGCGATAAAATGATAAGAAAAAGAAAAACTACGTTGACTGTGTCTTCAATTTCCTTTAAACTCTGCATTTCTTTCTTCACAGTATCATATAACTTTCCGGGAATTAAAATTCCAGCGCAATTAACAATTACATCCACCCGTCCGAAATTTTCGCGCAGAGTCTCGAATGCAGCTTTTATCTCATTTTCGGATGTCACCTGACTTTTTTTTTGGTTTGAATTCATGGTTTTTTTAGGAAGATTATTTTTTTGATATATTTAACGGCTGGATATCAAATTATCGCTATGGTTCGATCGCCATATTTCATAGGAATAAATCTATAATTGGAATAGTACCCACGAGGTATTTCGACTTTCGATAACAAAGTTTCCTGTTAAAGGAGTGGCTAGAAAAATTTTCTCATATGATTCCACTTTCTTATTAAGCTACAGTAGAATTAGTGATCATTTTACTGTTGATATTAAAACAATAACAATAAAACAATAAATAAATACAATGATTTTAGATTGAATAGTTTTCTGCCGCTCTCAGGATTTCGAGTCGAGTGGCATGAGGATAGTCCTTTTAGTTAGCAGATTGACTAATTCTAGTGGATTTCAAAATCGGTAAATTTAATCGACAATGTAATAAGCTCTTAGAACAAGAAATTTTAAAAAAATCATATCCTGCCTTCCTGGTTTATTGTATTTTTTTTTTGAGGGCGCTTACCATTTTTTGTCAAATTTACTTCGAAGGCTTATTGGATCAGAAAAATTTCAAGAAGACATTCGCATAGACAACGATAAGCAACCGAACTACAGATCGGTTTATCGGTTTTGCCAGAAATAGAATCGAAGGCATCGATGCTCTGAATTGAAAGCAACAATAGCCTAACGCGCCCTCCATTACAACTTTCAATCTTTATTTTTACCTTAATTATTTATTTAATCGTGTGGATTTTTCGCATACATTTTTGCAATTTATGAACTTCATGGTACCATTTCGCTATTATTTTATAAAGAAAATAGAAGACAATAAAAGCAGAAATTGGTCTCAGATATGAATGAAAATAATTTTTTATCTTCGTTTTCAAGTTCATCCTTTCGTTGAAAATATTTCAATTGGTCTTTGAGAATATAAATGTTTGAAAATGTTGCACGCAACCTTACATTTGCTGGAATGAAAAGACAATTTTCACCGCAACTTTTGGCTACATCTGCGCCATTTGAAGATGGCAAATCAACGATGGCTACCTTCAGCCCACGGTTTATTAAAAACTCGACAGTAGCCTTTCCAAGACCGGAAGCTCCACCAGTAACTAATGCAACGAGCCCCTAAAATCTATTTCATATTTCATATTTGCATTTTCATATTAATTAAATTTGCATAGTTAAAAATTTTAAATTTTTAAAAATTTTTAATTGCTACCTTTGTCAAAATTTCGCAAATAACCTTGCATGCAAAAATTTTATTAAAAATTCTCCTTAATATATTTTAATTAATTTTATTAAAAAACTTATTATACGAAAAATTTTCGAAAAATGAAAAATGGTACCTTCGTGGGCAATAAAACTGTCGTTTCACTATTCATATTTTTAGTATTTAGTAATTTTTTTATTAAATTATTTCCTAAAATGTTGACTATGCACATATATCATAAAATATTTTCAAAAATTTTGAAATCGCTCGAAAGTGATGAATAATTAAAATAAAATAAAAAATTTTTCAGTTAATAAAAATAAAATTGCATGAAATATAATTAAAACCTGCCGTTAAGGATTAAAAGTTTAAATTTTAATTAATTTTAATTAATTTAATTAATTTTAAAAATATGAAAATCTATAAAATCTATAAAATAAATTCTATAAAATCTTTAAATTGGCATCCATATGCGCTCATGATATGATGCTTTTGTTCTTTTGATTCTACAGTCAAGAAGATCGTATCTTCAAAAAATCACTTCCCGTACAAGCTACTAATGCATTCACTAAAGACGAAGAAACCTTCACATAGGATGAATCTTTATGAACATATACGCTACTATACCACAAATTTGTTTTATTTTTGCACTATTTGGCTACCTTTCTTCGTTTGTACTATTGTTGATCAATGCAAGCATCTCAGGGTAATTTTCCCTTGCTATATCAATAAATGGAATATATCAATAAATGTGGGATAATAGCGAAGAAATTTTATATCTAGAACGATAATGTTTAGAAAAGATCATCATCAACGTCACTGCGCTTTAATTAATTTTAAAAATATTCTATAAAATCTTTAAATTGGCATCCATATGCGCTCATGATATGATGCTTTTGTTCTTTTGATTCTACAGTCAAGAAGATCGTATCTTCAAAAAATCACTTCCCGTACAAGCTACTAATGCATTCACTAAAGACGAAGAAACCTTCACATAGGATGAATCTTTATGAACATATACGCTACTATACCACAAATTTGTTTTATTTTTGCACTATTTGGCTACCTTTCTTCGTTTGTACTATTGTTGATCAATGCAAGCATCTCAGGGTAATTTTCCCTTGCTATATCAATAAATGGAATATATCAATAAATGTGGGATAATAGCGAAGAAATTTTATATCTAGAACGATAATGTTTAGAAAAGATCATCATCAACGTCACTGCGCTTTCAATAATTTTAAAGAACCAATTTTTCCAAATTTCTCAAATTTAGTTTCTTTCTTGAACTTTAACAAAGCAATCCTAGATAGGTTTACTGAATAAATTAATTACATTAAGAAATTAAATCTGGAAAATGGTACCAAATGTTAAAATTTACTCTAAAAATTTATTGATAAACCTTTGTCTCTTCGGACTAAATTTCATTGAATATTTCTTCGGTTTGAAACTCAGCGAATTCAGTTATAAGTCATAAATATTGAATGTTTGAGGAGAAGCGCGAATTATTTTGTCGTTGTATTATAAATGATTATTCTTTAATTTTTCTTCTTAGAATTCTTTCTTTGATTAATCTGATAATATACTTTAACATTTTACCTTTAAAATGAAATATTTCGTCAAATATCGGCAAATATCTCAACGAATTGACGGCAAATGGATGAAATATATTTGGTTTTCCAAAGAAAAATAGAATTGCGGGCAAATTTGATAGATAAGATTCTGAAAGTATATTTGGTTTTTTGAAATATTTGGTTCTCCTATTAAACTGTAAATTCCAATTTTTTTTCATTTGCCTTTTATTCATTATTATTTAATGGAAGAGATAGAAAATTTATGAAAAAGATAAATGATCAAAAAATCATAATTTTCAAACCATTGACAAATTGATAAAATTATTTGAAAAATTTTTTGTTCGATTGCAGAAAATGAACGAAAAATGGTAATTGACTATAGGGAATTTATTTTCGAAAAATAAAATTCAAGAAATTTTGTGGTACTCTGAGTAATTTACGAATTTTTCTTCAATAAATAGCAGAAAAATTTGTTTTAAAAGAATATTTAATAAAAATATTTAATAAAATATTTTAATATTTTAGAATAGAATAGCGATTGTAAAACATAAAATTTAGACTTTCTTCTGCGATAAATCAACTTTATACGTTTTCTTATAATATATAATATGCTGTCCAGTCGAATGCAATCACTATAATGCAACTACCTTCTACGATGTGGTAAATGAATCAATCATATTCTAATGGACCATGAAATCGTTTTGAAAATAGCGAATATTTTTTGAATTGCTCGTTTTCTTCGAAAGATTTATATATTATAATGGTTCCTTAAAATTATGCCGCAAGGATTTTGCGCGATGAAAGAAAGAAAAGGAAAATTAATAAATGTAAGTACTTAAATTTTTCGTTTTGCTAGTTATGCCTGTTATGCCTGAGCATAAGCCTAAGTTTTTTTATTATTATTTTCCAATTTTACTTGATTTTTGATTTAGTTGACAAAAAATTTTAATGGATAGTCTATCTGTAAGTCCGAAAATTTTTTTTGTCAAATTTCACGTCTATGCTTTTATTTATTTCCTTTTCGAATCGCAATATTCTCTTCATTTCAATGTCTTTTTGACAGCCATAAAGATCACCGATAGAAAAGTTATTTATATTCGAGCGATTGCTGGGAAACTCAACAGTTTCAGAATTCTTAAATGAATCAATGACAGGTGGGTCTTTAAATCTTTAAACGATACTTGCATGCTACTCCGGCATATTGATCCTTCCTCCAGGTATGTACGAATTGTTTTAAATTTATTTAAAGATTTTAAGAGAAGTCAACCATATGATTGAACTATACTTAGAATTTAGGAGAATTTAAGGAATTAAGTGATAAGGAATCATTTACACTTTATTCAAAAATCTGTATCTCGAGCGTTTCAAAAACATACAACCGCTTTAAGCTTTAGTTAATTATTCGGAACCCGATCACTCAAATCTCGGAAGAGACATAACGATATAAAGCATTGAAGGGTTATAAGGAAAGCGTTGGAGGATTTCATTCGAAGGATTCGTAGGAGCCAAGTTATTTGTTGCAAAAACAACTTAATCATTAATGCTAATGAGAAGATTTGCATAAAAAAAGATTTGAAGTTAGAAGGGAATCAGCCCTGCTAGTTTTGACATTATCATTGACATTATCTCTTTACAACAAAAATATATAAATATATAAAAGCACGACAAATACAAAATGAAATGCATAAAGATCACTATGAAGGTGGGAAAATTTTAAAAATTTCAAAGCCCTACTAGCCATCCTCTCTTAATTGCCCATTCCCTCTCCCTATCACTAATTTTTCCTGGGGCTAAATTCTAAATTCTCTCTCTTCTCTTCCCTTCCTTCTTTGTCTTCCTCGTTACTATATTTATTCAATTCAATTCAAATGAAGTAAGTCAAATCACATCACAAATAAGGCATTATCATTCGCACCTAATTTAACATTCAAAAATTAGAATTAAAAAATTAGTCCGATATTTTCTAAAAAAATACTTCATCGTTTAAATCCACTATTTGATTTGTAGTTAAAGTTTTATATTTAAAAATTTGAAATTCTAAAAGTTCTTAACTATAATTGAATAATGATGCAATATAAAAAGAAATAGATTGATTCAATATTTAAGTAACTTTTTCAGTTCGCATCAATGTTTACTATAATAAATTACCTAGCGGTGTAAGGATTTGCACCATCGGTGAGTGAATTGATGAAATTTATTTGTTCAAATCAATTTGTTTAAATTTGAAACAATCAATCAATTTATACTTAGAAAATACAAATTTCATTTTGATATAAAAATTATAAAAATTATTAAAATTTTTCCAAAATTTTTATCATATAGTTCAGCCATTCTAAAAGAGACAAATAATTCATTAAAATCCTAAATAAAAAACTAATTAAAACGAAAATTAAAAGAATTATTTTGCATACAAATATTTTATTGTTGCAATCGTAATCCACCATCTAATCGAATAACTTCGCCATTCAAATAGCGATTTTCAATAATATGATGAACGAGAGCAGCGAATTCCAGCGGATTACCAAATCGTTTTGGACTTAGTACAATGCTTTCCAAGTATTTCAAACGTTCTTCCAGCTGAAAGATCAAACTATGCGTTTAATAATTTTTAACTATTCTACAAAATCAATTTAATATATTGAAAAAAAAGTACTCCAGAATTCATTAGGTTATTTATCATTGGTGTAGAAAAGAGGCCTGGAGCAATAGCCATGAATCGTATTCCATGCTTTGCAAATTCGAAAGCAAGAGGACTTGTCATACTAGAAATCGCTCCTTTCGATGCTGAATATGCCTAAATTAGAAATATAATTGCTACTTCTAAACTTGAATTAGGAAAAGTAATAAAAGTAATAATTATAATTTAGCAGATGAATAGATGCTTTGCGATCATGAAAACTCATTTACATGAAGCGAGTTGTTATCATATGCGCAAATTGATGAAACATTGATAATAACTCCTCGCTGCCCGTCTTTATCTTTTTCGTTTTCAGCCATCATTTGACATGCAAATTGAATCACATTCATTGTACCGATTACATTCACCTGAAAATAAATTAAATTCCATCAATTAAACTGTTGATTCTATTTATAATTCCGTTTTATTTAAATCTGTGTTTTTTATTTTTTTAGCGAAAAAATTTTAAATGAACGATTCCAGAAAATAATTGATATTATAAAATTCAGATTGATTTCAGAGAAAAAATAATATTTGATTTTCGTGATAATTTGATAAACTTGATAATTTCTTAATTTAATGCAATAAAAAAATGAATTCATCGCCAAAAATAAACTATAAATCATTGCACTAAATATTGGCGATAAAATGATAAGAAAAAGAAGAACTACGTTGACTGTGTCTTCAATTTCCTTTAAACTCTGCATTTCTT